GTACAGCTTCATCACGTGACCATTTTCCAAAGGCTTTTTAAGAGCCCGCGCCTAGGGCCCAAAACGGGTAATATAATAAATAAATATAACATTAAATTTGTAGAATGTTTGTTTGTCGAATAATAAATAAATTCACATGAGAATTGTCTTCAAAAACAATTTGCATTTTAACAAATGGGATAATTTTCATGTAACATACCATTGCACTATCAATAACTTGTCCTTTTCCTGACTTGTTTCTCTCTACCAATGCCAATAATATACCCATGACACACACCAGCCCTCCCCCAGCAAAATCACCCAGCARGTTTAGTGGTGGATTAAGGTTATTTTCTCGGCGYCCAAGCATGGAAAGTAGGCCTGTCATRGCTATATAGTTAATGTCATGTCCTGCTTGTTTGGCCATTGCACCTGTTTGCCCATAGCCTGAGGATAGATAACACCATACAGTTAACATTGGCTGTATTGCTATGCCGACAGTTCCAGATAAAAATGTCCAACACTGCAATAAAAAGAAATTCCAATAATATTTACATCTTAAGAAAATGTTAATTCATAGCATTTACTTATTTGTAGAGATGATGGTCATTATAATTCAGTGCAGGCAATCTTTTGACTCTGAAATGCTGCTATGCTTGTACTATTCCTGTTTCACCCTTTTTGATCTAAGATATCATGATCTTTTTGAACTAATATATTTTCTCAATTAGATGTATACAAAGATAGGCATTTCAAACTGATTGTTATTGAAGACATTAATGAGCCTGGCTAAACACCATTCATCAYAACAACTTTTTGGTTCTGTCAAGACTGAAATTCATTTAACTGACTTCAGTGARCTTCCGGTAAATCARCTTACTAACCAGTTAATCTTGAATATATCAACTTTGGATTATCCTTCATAAGGACACTTGGTCCAAGTCCAAGTTTTTCCATAACACCAGGTCTGAAAGGTTCTATCAAAACATCAGCCTTTGAGCACAACCTATACATGGTAAAAAAGATCAATAACACTACACAGCTTTTTCTTGTTTAGCTTAAATATCTATATGCTTCTTAATAAACACACATATTCTTCTAATTTAAAATAGTAGCAGATTGCTGTACCAATTTTGATAAAAGACCTTGTAAAAKCACATCCCTTTCTTCTATTTCAATCAGAATATTTGAACTCTGATTTCTTTATGTCCATCAAAAGAGAAAGGGATCTAGTATATAAAAATGTATTTGGCTTTAGAATTTTGATTTTCAGGATGAAAGGACTGATAGTTATCTATGTTACACTAGTATTAATATGACACTTATGAGTACTAATTATGTGGGCTTCCTGTGCAAGTGACTTTTGTCTTCGCCATGAATATTACACTTCAAATTGGTAGTGCCTGTGTTTCCATGGTGATGTCAAACTAGACCAATCACCGCTTTGTTTTCGTTTTTGACTTTTATTGTTCAGTCGGCCTCGTGGATCACAATATCTAGCTTCACTTTATAGCTACTGTGACCTGGTTTGTGACTAAGAAAAGCAATATGATCAAAAAAATGGAGGAAATCAACCCTAGAACGCTGATCTCACTTACAAATTTCACGCCGTTCCTAGTAGGCCCACAGTAAAAGATGTTCAGCGTAATTTTTGGAATGTGCCGGTCCATGAACTCAAAGTTCTTACTACTTCTTGAATGATTCAAATGATCAAAATACTAATCAAAGTTATAATATTGAGAAAACTGCAAAGACTGTACCGTTTCTATTGTTTATTATCTCCGGAGCACCTACTAAACGGTGATATAACCTTTCAGGTTTGCATATTTTGAATATTTGCATATTTTTAATAATCTAGACGCTCTGAAAGTGTAAAGTTGGGCTAGCTATTTTGGAAAACTGAGAAAGACAGGATACTTAAAGAAGTTACTTAAAGTTCAGTAAAAAAATATGATGATATATTGACTTATTTCAAACAAAGACTGTATCGTGAAAATTGTATAGTTATAGCTCAATGGCAGCATCTAACCCATTGTTGCAGCTACAGGAAGCCCACAAAATTGATCAATGATCGTCTAGTTGCCTATAAAATGGCCTCTTCATCGATATCGATTAATTGAATTTTCTATGGTTACTAATTCTTCATTTTCAGCTAACGCCACAGTGGCCATCTTGGAGGAACTTTAACAAAGGATTTCTCAAAGTGTCTATTGCTCATTCCTCCAGCATGGCCGCAAGTCTTTAATCTTTTGAACTCATGGGAAAAGTTGAAAATGATCAACAGAGTTTTTTAATAACATGACATTAAAATTTC